CAGCACAGCCCATCCAGCCGAGCGGAGCTCGGGGTAGCGAACGTCACATGCACTTCCACCCACAAAAGCCGCACCCGCTTCCATCAATATTTCGCCAGTATTGCCCAGGTCCACAAAATCTCGGTCACTGGGCCGCCCTCCTACGCCAAAGGCCTGGCTGAAGTGTGGCAACAGACCTCGTGCAAAACGCTTATGCCTGTCCTCCGTCTCCAGCCTCAAGCGTTGGGCCGCTTGCTGGAGCATGGGGGGTGATAAGCGGCTGACGTTGTGCAGCGAACGCATCACAGACAAACAATCGATGGAAAAGCGTGCCAGGGCTCGAACGACACCGAACACACATCGGCGACTCGCCAGCGAAAGCGCGAGCCACCCTAGTCTGTGTCCAGTGCTCAGGCTGCAAGTCTGATTGGACATCACCTTCTACTCGGCTGCCTCTATTTCTCAGCAGGTCAAGCTTGGAATCAGGAGGCAAATTGACAGGGAGGCGCTCGACCTACTACCTGGTGCGGGCTCCACGAGGGGAGGGCAGATTGCCTGGGGACCGATCCTTCCGGCCCTCCAGGGAAAGAAGCTCTCACCTCACGGACGACGATCCCTCCGAGGCGTGATCACAGGAGGGCGCGGTCACAACTTGAGCTGGAACTGCGTTCGACCTGAATATCACAATATACGTGTTCACAGCGTCCGCAGTGGCCAGGACCAAAGGGTCGTTCTCCCACCCACTGTCGGCACACATAAGGTATAGGCCCAATGAAGAGCCAGGCTTGAACCTAGACCCCGCATTCAAGAAGGACATCCTCAACTGCTGAATCCTGCTGTTCGGCGCCCCCGCGATAGAACAGCCCCAGAGGGCCTTGGATAGCACCCCCGCACGGTGTACAGCAGCCTTCTGCTTTGCCAGGCCCCACAAGGCCCGAATCCTGTCCCCGTTCATCATGGCATCCCTGATCCTCGCGAGCTGCGTCCCAATCCGCCTGTACCTCCCTCCGCGCGCATCTCCACCCCAGTCACGGTGATCGGCATCCCTACCAGGGAAAGGAACGCCAGCTGGCCATAAATCAGCCACGTGATCAGCGATTCCGTCGAAGGCACCACCGTCACTGCACAAAAAAAAAACCATTTTGTCCCAAGCAAGCGGCAGTGCTTTCGCCGGCAGCAGGCGCGCAGTCTCCTGGAACGCGAAACTCATTTCCCTGGTGACGACCTGGGGCCCTCCCACGGCGTGCAAACAGATATCGTCGATGAGGTTTTTGATGCGAATAGTTCTACACCTAGCCCCAACATGTCTCAAGACCGTGATCGCCATCAATTTCACCAGACCCGTCGCGCACGAACAGCCCGCCAGCATCGTGCCGTTCGCATATATCACCTGGGACGTGGAGTTCTGATAGGAGGCTCTGCGAGGACCTCTGCGCAGGGCACAAAGGGCCTGAAGGGCCTGACTGGACACCCAGTGTCCCTAGCGGCCCCAAGTAGCTCCCTGCGCGAAACCATCTCGTAAAATTTACGGAGGTCTATGAAGGCATTGGCACTGACACAGTTAAACTCAGGGGCTGCGCTACTGAGAACATGGTGGGCCCACGCTGATTTATCGCACGAGGTTTCCGACGCCGAACCCCAGAAAAACGGGGTCGTTGAGAGTGGCTTCCCAGCGGGCGACTTCCTTGTGACGAATTCTCGACCGCAGCCTCGAACATAATGGGAGCTGTCCTATAGGTCGGACACCCCCCGTGGCGTTGGGCAGGAAAACAATATGCGCGAGCCAAACTTCCGTGATCTCAGGCCGATCTTGCCAGTCGAGGAGGAGAGAGAGGTCAACGCCGGGAGGAGGTCAAAGGGGGGGCGATCGACCCATCTAGGATGGGAGCAATCCCAGCCGAACGCAGTCTGTAATCTCGGAACGTGCCAAGGGCAGACTTCACCGTGGCGTGGTCGAACTCGGGCAGCGGATCCTCGCCGGAGACCTCCCAGCAGAGGGGGTGATCTTCCTCCTCGCGACTGGGGCACGCTCCGCAGCTGCGTCCATTCCCCTATCATGCTGTTGAGCGCTGCGTGGCCCACGACAGGCACACCCTGAGCAAGGTCCGAGGCGCTGGCTCCCTTGGGGCCTTTCGAAAATCTGTGGGCCACGCTGGCCCCGTTGGAAAAAGCAAGCTCCGAGAAATCCTTCCATCCTCGCCTCGCCTGGGCCGCGTCCTCTGGTCTGTGCTCACGCGCCCTGTTTTGCACTGACAAACCGAGGCTCTAGTGCCGCCCAGCTTAAAGCCCCTCCAGGGCCTGGCCGACGTTTCTGAAACGAACTCCCCCGTCCCCCGCCCAGCCCAAGTCCTCCCAAACCTTCCCCGTCTTGTGTAGAAGGCCCGCAGCGCGATCCTGCTGCTGCTGCTGTGCCTCAGCCTGCAAATCCGAGCCCTTCAACTACTGCGTGACAACGCGGCGAATGGAAAGCCACGGCTGGGTGATGGCGCTGGCCTTTTCACTTGGCGCTCTTTCCCCACTGACATGCATGCAAGCGGCACTTTTTCAAGGCGACAACCTTCCGCTCTGCCACAAAAACGCGGCCTGGCAGCAACGGGCATGGGCAGCAGCAGGCATAGGTAATGCCCCGCCGACTTGTACCACCTGTGCGCCGTGGAGTCCAGCGACTCGCCAGACATGCGGAATGTGAAACCTGCCCAGCTGGAGACGTCCCCAGCCACAAACGGCCGACCAGCAATCGGAAGCTGAAAAGGTTCTTGCCGAAGACGACGAAAGACGAAGTTCTGACCTCCAAGTCCCGTTAGCTGCAGCAAATCTGCACGATGCGGTCCCACAGGCGTGTCCTCATGCAAACCCACACCCCGTGCACACGGCAGCAGGACATCACGGATGATAAAATAATCGTAGCACGATTGATTGCAGGCGGCCTTCCCGCAGTGCACGATCTCGGCACGCAGTGCATTCAGAAACCCTGCGCGCAAAACAGGTGCATTTTGACTCGACGCTCCAGTCACCAGCCACACAGAAAAGGTAAACAGGCCTCTCGCAGCATCTGAATGAGGGAACCAAGAAGCTTTGATTTTCCAGCCTGCCCAACACTGCGGATCCCATAGCATGACACGAGGAGGACTTGCGTGTTGCCGACGACGGAGCGCTGAGCAACACTGCGTGGCCTGGAGTAGTCGCCCACAGGCTCGTGCACGGCCCTGGCCGAAGACAGGGAAGAGGCGACCCCGACCCCGCGCGAAGCTGAACGAAGGGTTTTTTTTTGCAATCCTAGGTTTTTTTGTTTTTTTTGCAATCCTGGGTTTGTTTTTGCAATCCTTCGAGGAGCCCCCAGTCACCGCGAGCAGCCGTGACCCGGAACTCTGAGACCGCGAGCAGCCGTCCAGTCACGAGCCCTGCGTAGCGGCTCCCGTGCTCTGAGCCCGTGCTCCTGGAAAAGGAAGAAGACGTCGGGCCGAAATGCTTTCTCCGGGACCAGCTTTCTCCCTTCCCCTTCTCCTTCTCATTATCCTTCTCCTCCTCCTCCTCCTCCTCCTCCTCCTCCTCCTCCTCCTCCGTGGCCCAGGCGTTGCCGTTGCAGGTGATCAGGCTAAGGTCCGAGGAATGCTCGGGCGGAACGGCTTCCCCAGCGCCCCCAGCCCATTGGAGCGAAGCCGCCGCGGCCCGTGGAGCAGCCGAGGCAGTCGGGACCTGCCGGCAACCCGAGATGTCCCCCATCGCGCCCACCGCGGGGAGCAATGCCTCGGTGCCCTCGTGCTCTCCGGCCGCGAAACCGGACAGCCTGAGCTCGTCGCAGCTGGGGAAAAAGGGAGGCCACCACATGTAGCTTGACGTTGAACTCGCCCTTGCCGAAATTGAACTGCATGAGACCCGCAGGCGAGACCCTCCAGCGAATCGGAAGGCCTGGAGTCTCCTCCTTGGTCTCCTGTGCACGGCGAGCTTGCCTCCACCAACGGCGCTCTACCGAACGCGGGACTCTGGGAGGGCTGCCACAGACCAGCCGTCTCCACGTTCTCTGGGTTAACCTTTGGGCCTCTCGAACAAGGTGCCGAAAGTGAGGAAGACGAAGCAACTCGCGGCCTCCAAGGGGGCCGTGCAATCGAAGAAGACGAACTCTGCTGCCCCGAAGCCGCAGGGAAACACGCCGTGTCCTGGCATGAGGAGAAACGCCCGCCCTCGAAGGTGAACTCCGAGCGCGCAGCTGGCACTCCGAAGTTGAGCCCGCCCCAGGTCGCGTCAACGGAACTGCCGGCCCAGCAGCGCTTGAGCCTGCCACTGCCCCGCTCGACGCTGGTGGCGCCGTCCTTGGAGGAGTTGGCGACCGCCGCGACTGGCTCAGCTGCCGGCACAGCGCGGGGGTCCTCCGTAGGGAGCGCATGCGGGCAGCTGTGCCCCCCACGGCCGTAGCCTTGAACCCAGCACTGGCCAGGTTCTCGGCAGTGCGTAGAACGGTGTCGTCATCGGCCTGATCAGGAGGAGGAGGAGGAGGAGGAGGAGGAGGAGGAGGAGGAGGAGGAGGAGGAGGAGGAGGAGGAGGAGGGACGAAGGCGCCGCTCTGCGCCCGCGCCTCGCGGATGCCCTCCTGCCCAGGCGTCCAGCACTCCTGGCGCGCCGCAATTGTGCCCAGGCTCGCCCGCGCCAGCATCCCTGGCGCCTCATGCAGCGGGAGGGGCAGCCTCCACGGCGCGGGTGCCCCGGTGCTTGGCCAAAGCCCGCCGCGATGCGCGAGGCGATCTGCGCGGCGTCCACGCCCTCCAGGCGCGCAGCAAGGTTCAGCCGCAGAGCTCGGAGCCTCGCTGGGTTGGACGATGGGGCCACCGTCCAGCACCTTGTTGTGCTCACTCTTCCGGCTTTCGGATTGATGGCCATTGTGGCCTTCCCCAATCGAGGTGGGATGTTTGGTGGCTGCGCATGAGGTGGTTTCGGTTTGGGTGGTCAGAGAGCCAGGCCGCCGCCTCGCTCTCCTGCCACGGCAGCAGCGGGGCCCGTGCTGCGCCGTCCACGGGCTCGGCCACCGTGGCTGCTGCAAGGCCTTCTCCGTCTCCGCGAACTCGGCCGAGCGGGCCTCCAGCAACGCCATGGCAGCCGCCGCCGCCTGCTGGGCCTCCTGCAGCTTCCCGTTGGCCTTGTCCAGGTCGGCCCGCGCCTTTTCGCGCGCTTTCCTGGCCGCCTCCGCCCTGCGAGAGGCTGCCGAGAGCTTGGCGGGCAGAGGCTTCTTGTCGTAGAGCGTCTTTCGCTGTGCCTCCAGCTGCGATCGCACCTCTTTGGCCTGAGCCACGGCCCACTCGGCCTGGAAGCCCTCCAGCCACTTGAGGTGCTTGTCCAACGCGGCCAGCTTCTCATGAACCTGATCATCTGAAGGATCAGCGAGCTCTTCTTCAGCTGCAGCGTCGCCCCCGAGAACTTGGCCCTGGCGAAGAGCTGCGTTCTCCTTCGTAAGCTTCTCAAGCTGCTTGCGCAGCTGCTGCTCGCTGGAGGCGGACGCCAGCTCCATGCGCCCGCGCTTGAGACTGACCGCAGGAGATCTGGGCGGCTTGGCACACTTGAAAGCCACTGACTTGTGGAGATGACGCGTTGCTGCCCCAGTTGGTGAGAGGCAGCCCAGTACCACGAAAAGTACAACACCTGCACATCCAGTCATCGTTGTCAGCAGCCCGCGGAGCGGGAGCCGTGCCAAGAAACTGTGAGAGCGAGAGCGAAGGCTGTCCTCCGTAGGGCGGGCCACGGAAGACTCTGCCCGGGGCTGACCAGGCGAAGGGTCGATTGCTAGCCGCGGATCAGCGGTATCCGTTTTGGCCCCAAGGGAACCTAGCATCTGGAGCCAAAATGGCTGCGGAGGGAGGAGGAGGGATCAGGCGGAGGAGGCGGAGGAGGAGGACGACGAGGAGGAGGATGAAGACGAGAATGAAGATGAGGATGAAGACGAGGAGACGGAGGACGAGGATGAGGAGGAGGAGGAGGAAGGGGACAAGGCAAGAGCACTTGTGAGCCAAAAGTTCGATGTCCTGAGGGATGCGCAGCAGCAGCTGAGCGTGAGATGCTAGTTGCTCGCACCAGCATCGCTCCTGGACCTGAGATCGAGGGTGCACGAACACAGTCCCGAAATGGAGGAGGAGGAGGAGGAGGAGGAGGAGGAGGAGGAGGAGGAGGAGCAGGAGCAGGAGCAGGAGCAAAAGCGGAGCAGGAGCAGGAGCAGGAGACGGATGGGATGAGGATTCGGAGGAGAGAGAGGAGGGAGGAGGAGGAGGAGGGAGGAGGAGGGGAGAAAAAGCAGGAGGAGGAGGGGAGGGGGGAGGAAAAGGAGGAGGAGGAGGAGGAGGAGGAGGAGGAAGAGGAGGAGGAGAAGGAGGAGGACTCCGAGGTGCTGCCTAGCTACGACGGGGCCTGCGCGCTCGACGGCCACGGCGGCGGCGGCGGCGCGCCGCGGCGCCAGCTGGAGGCGCCCTGGGATGGCCACGAGGAGCTCCTGCGCCCGCTGTCGTGGGAGGCCGCGGGGGCCAAGGCCGCGGGCACCGACGACGACGAGGACGAGGACGAGGGCGAGGGCGACGACGACGACGACGAGGGCGACGACGACGACGACGACGACGACGACGACGACGACGACGACGAGGACGACGACGACGACGACGACGACGACGACGACGACGACGACGACGACGACGCTGGGGCCAAGGCCGCCGGCACCCTTGCCCAGATGTCCGCCGAGGACAAGCGCAGGCTGCTCACCGGCCTCGGGTGGGACGGCGACCTCCAGAAGTGGTTCTACGTCGGCAACACCGCCGCGATCCCCGCCCTGGGCATCCCGAGCCTCAACCTGCAGGACGCCGCCTCCGGCTTTCGCACGTACTGGAAGGAGCTGGTGGGCACTGTGACGTGCTGGCCCTCGCTGCTGGCCATGGCCGCGACCTGGGACCCGGATGCGGTGGAGATGTACGCGCGGGCCGTGGGCAAGGAATTCAAGAGCAAAGGTGCCAACGGCATCTTGGGCCCGTCTGTGAACGTTCACAGAGTGGCCCGCAACGGGCGCAACTTCGAGTACCTCTCCGGCGAGGACCCCTACCTCGGGGCGATGTTGGCCCCGGCGTACGTGCGCGGGGTGCAGTCGCAGGGGGTCCTCGCCGTGATGAAGCACTGGGTCTTCAACGAGCAGGAGACCAACCGAGACTCGGAGAACTCCGTCGTGGACGACAAAACGGCGTGGGAGCTGTACTATCCACCTTTCCAGGCCGCCGTCGACGCTGGGGTCTCCGCCGCCATGTGCTCCTACAACAGGATTGGTGGGCAGTACTCGTGTGCAAACGAGAAGACCCTGCAGACGGTGCTGAAGGACCAGATGGGCTTCAGGGGGTTCGTCCAGACGGACTGGTGGGCGGCCAAGGCGATGGGCATGCCCGCGGGCCTCGACCAGGAGATGCCCGGCAGTAATGACGTCTTCTTCACGGCGGACGGTCTGGCTGGCCAGGATCCTCGGCGAGTGGACGACGCTGTGCACAGGGTGCTCTCCGCTGTCTACCGTCTGAAGCTGGAGACGAGCACGCCGTGCAGCGCACCCGACTGCGAAGCGTGGCTCAGGAAGAACGTCACCAGCGCAGCCCACGCGTCGCTCGCGCGGTCGCTGGCCACGGAGTCCGTCGTGCTGCTCAAAAACGACAGGGACGTGCTGCCCATCGCCACCTCCCGCGTGGGCAAGATAGCCGTGCTCGGTGCCGCGTCGGTGGCGGGTGCGTACGACCCCAGCGGCGGCGGCCAGAACGGGGGCGGTGACTGGGCGACCGGCGACTACTACTCTGGCGGCGGCAGCGGCCACATGGTGGCTGGGCGCCTGGTCACGCCGCTGCAGGGCATCTCCAGTCGCGCCGCCGCCTCGGACATCGAGGTGGTGTCGGCCCCCACCGACGACGTCGAGACCGGGCTCCGGGCGGCGGACGGGGCGGGCCTCGTCGTCGTCGTGGCGGCCACCACCAGCGGCGAGTCGAAGGACCGCGAGAGCCTGGCCCTGGACGGCGGCGTGGGAGCCCTCATCGGCGCGGTGTCGGAGCAGAGCGGGGAGCGCGTGGTGGTGCTCGTGCAGTCGCCGGGCGCGTTCGTCGCCCCGTGGCTGGACTCCGTCACCGGCGTCCTGGTCATGTTCCTGGGGGGCCAGGAGACGGGGGCCGCCTGGGCCAGCATCCTCTTCGGGGACCGCTCCCCCACTGGAAGGCTGCCGCTGATGCTCCCGGCGACGGAGGACGACCAGATCCTGCCTGGCACGGGGGCCGACGTGGAGTACAGCGAGGGCACGGAGACCAGCTACCGCAGCCGCCACTTCAGGGCGGCCTTCCCCTTCGGCCATGGCCTGACGTTCACCACCTTCGAGTACGTGAGCCCGACGTCGGTGCCGTGCGGCGGTCAAGCGACGGCCGCAGAGGTGACCTCCGAGGAGCAGCTCAGGCACGCCGTCGTTTGCATCAAGGTCGGGGTGCGTAACGCCGGTAGGCGCTCCGGGCAGGACGTGGTGCAGCTGTACCTGGAGTTCCCCCCCGAGGCTGGGCGCCCAGGGCCCTTGCTGAAGGGCTTCCAGAAGACGCGCGTCATAGCCCCTGGGGACGCGGCGGAGGTCGTCCTGCCCCTGACGCAACGGGACCTCTCGTACTACGACGCCGGCGCCAAAGCCTGGAGGAGCGCCCAGTTGGCGCTGGCGCGCGTCGGCGCGTCCTCCGGCGACCTGCGCGGGCCGCCCCTGCTGTTGACGCGCGACGAAGCCTCAGGCGAGTGGCGGGCGCCCGCGCCGGCACCAGCACCAGCTGCAGCACAAGCGCCGTCGCCGTCGCCGGCGCCGGCACGGGCACCCACGAGCACCCGGCGCCAGCGCGGCGCGGGCGCGGGCGCCGGCGCGGGCGCCGGCGCGGGCGCCGGCGCGGGCGCTGCGCCGCCCAGGCCAGCACCGGCTGCGCGCTGGGCGCTGGGGCCTGCGCGCTGGGCGCTGGGATCGGCGCCACCGCTCCCGCGCGCGGCGGCAGCGCCCGCGCCGCGCGGCCGGCGGGCGCGCCGCAGCTGCGGCTGCCGCGCGGCAGCGCGCCGGGCGAGCGCCGGGAGAGCCGAGCGCCGGAGAAGCCTTCCAGGGTCCAGCCCGAGCCGCGGGCGGCTGCGGCGCGGCTGCCGGCGCCAGCGCAGGCACCGCCGCGCGCGGCGGCGGGTGGCCGCGACGTCGCGGCGCTCCCCGTCTTCGTGGTCGACGACGCGGACGAGGTGCCGCCCGCGGGCGCGAGCAGCTGGCGGCCGACCCCGTCCCCGAGGCCAGCGGAGGGCGAGGTGCCCGACGAGGGCGCCGGGGCGGACGAGGGCGGCTCCCCCCCCGTTCGGGGAGACGTAAGACTCGAGTGCGCCGGAGCTCGGGTCTGCCGCGGCGTTCTTTGACGAGCGCGCCCGGGTTCTCGACGGCCCAGATCTCGTGGGATGTCTGCAGCGCGGGATCGCGTCCACTTTCAGACTGCGCCTCGTCATTCTCATGACGGCCCCGCCGGGCCAACTTGAGTCCTTCCTCCTCCTCCTCCCCCTCCTCCTCCAGCTCCTCCTCCCCCTCCTCCTCCTCCTCCTCCCCCATCCCTCTCCTCCTCCTCCTCCTCCTCCTCCTCCTCCTCCTCCTCTTCCTCCTCCTCCTCCTCCTCCTCCTCCTCCTCCTCCTCCTCCTCCTCCTCCTCTTCCCTCCTCCTCCTCCTCTCCTCCTCCTCCTCCTCCTCCTCCTCCTCCTCCTCCTCCTCCTCCTCCTCCTCCTCCTCCTCCTCCTCCTCCTCCTCCTCCCTCCTCCTCCTCCTCCTCCTCCTCCTCCTCCTCCTCCTCCCCTCCTCCTCCCCCCCCCCCCCCCGAATCCGAGTTCTACGTCTCCCCGATGCGTGCTGGCCCTCCTCGCCGCCGCGTGTCTGCTGCCGGCGTGCTCCGCGGTGTGCGTGGCGGGCGCGCGCGCTGGCCGCGCCGAGGCTCGTGCCGAGAGCCCACGGGGCGCGGCGGAGGGCCTCCGCCCGTGGAGGGCCGCGGGCCTGCCGCTCGTCGAGGCCAGCGCCTCGCCGGGAGGGGTCGGCGGGGCGCTGCGGCCGCAGCTGGAGATCTCCTCCGTTTACTCCTCCTCCTCGTCCTCGTCCTCCTCCTCCTCCTCCTCCTCCTCCTCCTCCTCCTCATCCTCCTCCTCCTCCTCCTCCTCCTCCTCCCCCTCCTCCTCATTCCCTTCCCCCCGAACGTCCCCACCCCCTCGCTGCAGGTTTAAAACCCGCGCGCCCGCCACTTGGCGGCGCGGCCACGCGCAGAGGGGGGCAGGGGGAGGGGGGAAGCCTTCTTAGGAGCACCCCTGCTGCTCAGAAGGCGCGGGCCTTCTCCATGTACATACAAGGCCCGGCGCCTTGCTCCAGGAGGGGGCTCTTTGCTCCAGGAGGGGGCTCTTTCGGAGGCCGTCGCCACAGCAAGCTAGACAAAGCTCTGGCCGCGTTCGGATACAAGCACAACGCGAACAAAAACATGCAAGGCCCTGCGCCTTCCAAGACGCAGCCCCCTTCCAAGAAGCCTTCCCCCCTCCCCCATACCCCCCCTCGGCGCGCCGCCAAGGAGAGCCTGGCCGCGCGGCTGCAGGCGCAGTGCCTGGCCGCGCGGCTGCAGGCGCAGCGCCTGGGCGCGGAGCTGCCCGCGTGGCCGGCGCGGCTCCCCGGGTGCGGGCGCAGCCAGGAGCGGAAGAAGCGTCGTGTGAGCAGGCCTCGTCGTCGCTTGCGTGGGCCCCCCAAGAACAGGGAGTGATTGCACCGTGGAGGTGGAGGCGGAGGCCAGTTCCTGAAATCGTGCGGGGTGCGCTGCGTGGTGTGAGCTGTGGTGCGTCAGCTGCGTGGTGTGAGCCCTCGGGTGCACGCTGGGTGGTGCGAGCCATGCTGCGAAGCCACGCGGTGTGGGCTCTCTGGTGTGAGCTGCGCTGAGCCTGATGGAAGCTGTGCGGCGTAAGCAGTGCGGCGTGAGCTGTGCGGTGTGAGCTGTGCGGCTTACCGAGGGCACGGGGCGCCCGCGAGGCGGCACGGGCGCGACCGTGGCAACACCTCGGCGGCACGGGGCCCACACGAACGCCCACGAGGCGGCACAAGTCAGAACCCTTAAATTAAGTGCAAGCACAGCGTGGCCGCTTACATCCGAAAAGCCACAGTCAGTGGATTCTCTCGGACTTGCGCGTGGGCGCAGGGCCTGGGCTGCCTCGCTTGCTTGTCGAGGTCGGCCCAGCGCTTTCGCCAAGCCTGCGCGGACGTCTTGGATCTGCGCTGGGCCCGCCCGGCGGCGCCTCCAGCGCCACTGGAGGCGCTGGTGGGGGCAGGCCCTGCCAGGGGGCGGCGCTGGAGGCGCCGTCAGGGGGGAAGGGGGGCCAGTGCCGATCCAAATCCATCCGCGCAGACTCCGGGAAGTTCAGGTTTATGCAGACTTTGGTCGTCGCGTACTGTGGAGGGGGGGCCTGTGCCGATCCAAATTCAACCCGCGCAGACTCCGGGAAGATCAGGTTTGTGCAGACTTTGGTCGTCGCGTACTGTGGAGGGGGGGCCTGTGCCGATCCAAATGAAACCCGCGCAGACTCCGGGAAGTTCAGGTTTGTGCAGACTTTGGTCGTCGCGTACTGTGGAGGGGGGGCCTGTGCCGATCCAAATGAAACCCGCGCAGGCTCCGGGAATGTCAGGTTTGTGCAGACTTTGGGCGTCGCGTAATGGGGGGGCCGACAGTGAGGGGGGCAGCGAGGGCTGCAGCGGCCCTTGAAGGCCCACTAGATGCTTTTGGGCCCGAAGAGCGCACCTCTCTTCCTCACACCACTCCATTTATCGCCCCCCATGGTGCGACGCCCACAGGTGTTTCTTGTTATGCGTCTTATTCCCTACCTAGGCTCTGCCTAGAAGGGTTCTTACTCTCTTAGCTTAAAGGGGCCGGGCAGTGCAAAGCGCCCCGGGCGGTTCCCCCAGTCCCCTGGGAGCGGTTCCCCCCAGTCCCCTGGGAGCTTTAGCTTTAGCTTTAGCTTAGCTTTAGCTTAGCTTTAGCTTAGCTGTAGCTTAGCTGTAGCTTAGCGTTTCGCTTAGCTTTTCACTTCGCGTTTAGCTTAGCTGTAGCTTAGCTTTAGCTTAGCGTTTCGCTTAGCTTTTCACTTAGCGTTTAGCTTAGCTGTAGCTTAGCTTTAGCTTAGCTTTAGCTTAGCTTTAGCTTAGCTTTAGCTTAGCGTTAGCTTAGCTGTAGCTTAGTTTTAGCTTAGCTCTAGCTCTTCGTTAGCTCTTCTTTAGCTCAGCTTTAGCTTAGCTTTAGCTTAGCTTTAGCTTAGCGTTAGCTTAGCTTTAGCTTAGCTTTAGCTTAGCTGTGGCTTAGCTTTAGCTTAGCTTCAGCTTAGCTTTAGCTTAACTTTAGCTTATCGTTACTGTTACTACTAATGCCGCTTTCCTAGGGTTTCCAACTCCTAGGTAGGGTCGCACTGGGATAATTCATATTATTGATACTAAGACTAGTATTATTACTACTATCATTCTATTATTATTATGATTATGATTATTGGTATTACTACTATTCTTGATATTATTAGCATTGTTATATTATTCTTTTATGTTTAGTCTTATCATTAATATTACCACAATTATTTTTATGATCATCATTATCACTAATATTACGACTACTAGGACTACTACTACTCCATGTTTTTAGTATTGATGTTGTTATTCGTCGTATTCTTGTTTGGTCTATGTTTCGTATACGTCTTATTCCCTACCTAGGCTCTGCCTAGAAGGGTTCTTACTCTCTTAGCTTAAAGGGGCCGGGCAGTGCAAAGCGCCCCGGGCGGTTCCCCCAGTCCCCTGGGAGCGGTTCCCCCCAGTCCCCTGGGAGCTTTAGCTTTAGCTTTAGCTTTAGCTTAGCTTAGCTTAGCTGTAGCTTAGCTTTAACTTAGCGTTTCGCTTAGCGTTTCGCTTAGCTTTTCGCTTAGCGTTAGCTTAGCTTTAGCTTAGCTTTAGCTTAGCTTTAGCTTAGCTGTAGCTTAGCTGTAGCTTAGCTGTAGCTTAGCTTTAGCTTAGCTTCAGCTTAGCTTTAGCTTAGCTTTAGCTTAGCCTTAGCTTAGCCTTAGCTTAGCTTTAGCTTAGCTTTAGCTTAGCTTCAGCGTCGCTTTAGCTTAGATTTAGCTTAGCTTTAGCTTAGCTTTAGCTTAGCTTTAGCTTAGCTTTAGCTTAGCTTTAGCTTAGCTGTGGCTTAGCTTCAGCTTAGCTTTAGCTTAGCTGTGGCTCAGCTTTAGCTTAGCTTTAGCTTTGCGTTACTGTTACTACTAATGCTGCTTTCCTAGGGGTTCCAACTCCTAGGTAGGGTCGCACTGGGATAATTATGATTCGTTTTATTCGGATTCTTAGTTTTCGTATCATTATTGTTTTTGTTACTATTTTTATGAGTCCTCTTATTCGTCGTCTTCTTCTTCTACAGGAGGCGCCGGCTGCTGCGCCGCGCGCGCGCGGCGCGGCCGAGCGGCGGGCGCAGACGTCCCCCTCGGGGCAGGCGGCCGCGCTGCGTGGCGGCGCGTGGGGCGGCGGCGGGGGCGCCTGGGGCGGCTCCTGGAGGCAGCTCGGCGGCGCGGGGATGCCGTGGGGCAGCAGCCCCGCCTTCCCAGGCGCGATCCTCCTCCTCCTCCTCCTCCTCCTCCTCCTCCTCCTCCTCCCTCCTCCTCCTCCTCCTCCCTCCTCACTCCGATCCCTCCTCCTCCTCCTCCTCCTCATCCTTCTCTTCCTCCTCATCCTCCTCCGCCTCCTCATCCTCCTCCGCCTCCTCCTCCTCCTCCTTCTCCCCCTCCCCTCCCTCTCGACTGCAGTGGGAGCGCGCATCAAGAAGCCATACGATTTTCGTCAGGGTAGTTTCCCCGGGTTTCTTCGCTCTCCGCGCGCTGCGCGGTGGCTTCCCGCGGCCGGCAAAGAAGCCGCTGCGTTCAGGGTGCTCCGAGTTTCCCGTCAGGTGCACTTCTCGCGCGGGCTTTCAGGGTTCGGTTTCCTGCGAGGGTATCTTGCGGCCTCGCCCGCACTGTACTGTACACGTAAGAGTGACCCTTCGCCGGAGTGACCTTTGGTGCGGGGTCCTTCGATCGCCGAATGCGTTGCGATGGCAGCGTCTTGCGCGCTTGTGGTTGGCCCCCCCCCTGCGGTCCCCCAGAGGCCGCGCACCAAAGGCCACTCTTGCCCCGGGGTCACTCCTGCGTGTAGCCGATCCCTCCTCCAGCCACACGTCTCGCCACACCTCGCGAGGCGGCACTGAAGCCGCGAGCTTGCCCCCGCCCTCCAAAGTCGAGGCCGGCGCCTCGAGGTGCGCTGGCGGGGAGGCGTCCCGCCAAGAGCCCAGCACGCCCGTGAACTTTGAAGGGGCCACGCAACAAATAGTACCCCATACGCATCTCAACTGTGGAGGGGCCGCTCAACGGTGACGCACCGTCACAAGCCACCCGGCGGCGTCGCGTTACTTGCGACGAGACTTGTGGGAGTCCCCTTCCCTAATTACCTCCCTCCCTCCTTCCCCCCATTCCTCCTCCCCCTCCCCCTCCTGCTCCTCCCTCCTCCCCCCTTCCTCCTCCCCCTCCTCCCCCCGTCCTCCTCCTCCTCCTCCCCCTCCCCCTTTCCTCCTCCTCCTTCGAGACCACTGCGTCTGCTGTTGCCGCCTCAGTGAATCCTAGTTCTTCAGCGGACCTGTGCGCTCAGGTTCTGGCGGCCGCCCAGGCCGCTGACCCGAAGTATGCCGCTCGAGGTCGTAGGGGTTGGGCTGCTTGGCTTCACTGCGAGGTGGACTCGGGTGCCTGTCGGGTGCACATCTTAGTTGCCTCGATACGCACGTTTTGAAACGCAACACGTCCCGTATTCAAGACGTCTGTGTCAATGCGTTGCGTGTTGGCTCCACGTATTGGACAACGTTTTGGCGAGTGTATCGCGTACGTGTTGAGTTTCGTGTCGATACGGCACGTGTTGCGTGTTGCGTATCGGGGCAGCTAAGGTGCACATGCTTCTGAGGGACCCCACCCCCTGGGCCCCTAGTAGCACTCTCTCGGCGGACGGCTGTATCGTCTCGGGCCTCCTTTCTTTGCTCAAGGCCGAGGGCTCGAAGTTTGCCTAGATTTGGGGTCCTGGTCCCGGGGGCTCTTTTTTTTTCTGGGGCAATCTTGGAACCTCCTCCTCGCCTGCAAGCTCAGGAGATTAGGAAGATGCCTTGCTCGTGCAAGGAGTCCTCTGCGGTGTCTGTGGACGGCTTCCACTGTCGTCACTTCTCATTGCTCACTTGACTCTCTTGTCTTGCTGGGATGTTCCAAGTGATCGAAGCTCTCGGAGTTCTTCCTCCTCAGATCTCCGTGGTCCTTCTCGCTCTGCTCCCGAAGCCGACTGGTGGCTACAGGCCGATCGGGGTGTTCTGCCCCTGGCCCTGGTTCAGACTATGGGGCCGCCTTCGGCGCTTCATGGCTGTGAACTGGGAGGTGGAAGATCCCCGACGGTACTGGGCTGCTGGTCCGTTTCGTGGAGCAGCGAACGTTGTGTAGAGGCAAGCGGTTAAGGCTGAGCGCAGAGTCGCTCGAGGCCAGACCAGCTGCAGCACTTTCTTTGACCTTGCCAAGTTTACGAGCACATCTCATTAGCTGAATTAGAGTTCAGGTGTCGCAGGCAGAACTTCCCTCGGATCATGGCACGCGTGTGTGTGTGTGTGTGAGTGAG